CCTGAACGGCTTCCGCATACGACAGTCAGCAGAAGTGAGAGAAAAGTGTTATTTGTGTATTACAAAAACGCACGGATTCGCTACAGGAGGCCTTTATTCATGCCCTGGAGCAGTGTGAGGCACGTTTTATTATGGATGCGCGCACTTTATTTAATGTGTTTTGGACTGTTAAAGAGAAACACCCATCCACGGCAATGGTAACATTTTGAATAGCCAGGACAATTTTTTATATAACTCCGACTGGATTCGTGTGAAAGAAGAAAGTCATATACACCTAGGATGCCTCGAGGGTTAGTAAAACACAGGCTAATTTTCATTTTTGGGTGAGCTAACCCTTTAACTGTACTAAACAGACCAAGAGTACTCTTTTTGTGATAATTGCATTTTTAATGAACCACACTATTGTATAGTTGTGTAGTTTTTTTTAGGCACTTTTTATTTGTGCTTGTAGGTCTGACCCAAATCCTCCTCAAAAGCGTAATGCATTGTTATATTATTCGCTTTTAGAGTGTGCATGGATCCACACTTCGAACTTCCAATGGAAATAGTAGACCAATCTGGATACCTTTGGGATATTTACTTCAACATACTACAAGTTGGGACTCACTAACTCTAATTTTGAATATTGTTTAGGATAAATAGTATAGGAATTTGGAGGCAGTTCGCTGGGTCAAAAGACCGTCTAGCATCTAGTCATTCCTAAAAAAACTGATGTAAGGAAAACAGTCCAGAGACATACAGCATAATAAGATAATGGGCTATCATGGTCATTACGTGAAAGAAGTCACCCTGCATTACGAACCTCTGGATAAGCGTATCAAAGAAAAACAGCGAGGATGAGACAAAAGCAGACAAATTGAAAGGACCTTTCTGGAGACCTTAAGACACTGAGCCTGTGATTAAGAACGATGCTTCAGTCTTAATGTGCCTGATGACACAGTGAAGTACTCTTCATGGGTGACCTTCTCCCACGAGGCTCAGTAGTAAAGGACGCAATATAAATAGAGAAGATTAACAGTCTCACTGTGAAATTGAGAGACCGAAAGCAATAGAAAGACAGTGGACATACAGTGCATAGAGGAGAACAGCGCCAGCCAACAGCTGGGGGTCATCAAAGCTCAAAGACATGACGTGCCAAACAGTTTTGTAACCTTCTGGAACCACCAGCCTCTAAAGGCAAAGAATTCCTGCTTTTATTGACCATTTAATTACACATTCTTTATCCTGTCATGATTTGGTTTATTTGTACTCAGCCAGGAAAGCAACAGCAAGTTGACAGTAAGTCTGCATGCTGCCATCCATGTAGATGCTTGTGGTAAACGGACTGATTCATAGTGAATCTGCAGAATTAACCTTCTATGCATTTGAACGGTAAGTGGCCTGCTTAACAAATTAATGTGACTCACAGCATTGAAATGCTTCGTTTAAGTCATGATGACCACCACATCCTGAATACTGAATTAAGTTAATTACACAAAATGCCACATTGCCGGTACTAGGATGCCGCTCTCAATAGATGTGGAATGTAGGGATGTGATGAACTGGTTCTCATCATGATTACATCATAATTTCCACAGGTAAAAAAACAAAACAAATACATTCCAGGGCCTCAATTTCAGCACAGGATTGCGATTATTGCAAATAATTTTCCCGCTTATAATGCGTTGAATGAGTAAATTAATCAACACAGATGAACAGATCAATCAGTAATTTAATTTAAAATGTTACTGCCACACTGTAATTTCACAAACAGTATGCGTGTTTCTCTTAACATACTGCACTAAATGGAGTCACATCACTACATGGATACGGAGGAATTCCCCCCCATTTTCCAAAATGACATTTAGGCCCTGAATTCTCTAGAGTGTTTTGGTGACACTTGGAACTGGCTGATAATTAAACTCTCAAAAAAAGGCAAATGTCATTCAGTGGTCTCTACAAGAGTGATGGTTCCCATCTGACCTGCTTTCTGGGGAAGAAGAGCCTGTTGCGACATTCTAAATGATTCAAAGCTGTAGAGCCAATTTCCTCGAGCATTCACCACTTTTTTGAAGGCATCCCTGAATTTTTCTCCTTAAAAACAACAGCAGCATTGCATTTGTCTACAGTGGAATGAACTTGAACTGAGTAGCTTGACTAATGCACATCGTGAAGGTGCTCGGAATCTCACCATCATCTATTGAAAAAACTTTTAGGCACAGTAAGCATGAATGTGGCAAAATTTATTGACATGACACACAAAAACTAATGAAGTGCAAAGCACTGAGGAGAAATATAGATGGAGGCAGCAATATATGTACTGTAAGTATGATGCCAAGAGCCAAAGGACAACAGAGATACAACTCTGAAATGACCTTAAGTGGGATTTAAACCTACAACCTTTGGGATACTAGACCAAACCTGTGCCACATCACTGCACTGCATTGCAGAACTAGGTGCTGCCATAGACTCCTAGCCAGAGGAAGCAGAACAATATGCCAGTTTAAACAACAGGGGCTACACACCTTCTACACTTGGCTCCTAATAAAATCCAAAAAAGTGCTTTTGGATAACAGTAGGGTCGCACAGCTGTGCTCATTAAAATCGATGTGTGCTATCAGAATGACAGTTGATATGATGATATACTCATAACAATCCAACATCCTGTAAGACCTGGTAAGCAGGATGCAGTGTAATTAATGACTGTTACACTTCATGCTCTGTGACTGCAGAAGTAAATGACTGGCAAACACTTATAAATATAAATATAGCCAAACATGGCAATAAAAACAGTCCATGCAGTTGGAATAAGACTGCAAATTGGCAAACTGGCAGAACAGATGCTGTTGATCCAGTTGGTGTCCAACAGTTTATCTCAAAAGATGCTGAGAAGTTTGAAGCCGGTTATACTGATCTATAGTGAGGTCTGCAAGAAATACACATGGCTGATAAAATGTAATAGGCCTCCAGCAATCGTTCTTGTTCATCTGTCCAACTGATACTGCAGTATATTAGCACTTGTAGCAAAGAAAAAACGTGTCAAATTTTAACTTCCTTACTCCAACGGTTTTTACAAGATTCCCCTTGTTACAGCATCCCTCTATGGGTGAAACTTGGCATGCATTCTCCTAACAACCTGGTGTCAATGTGTAACTTATTTGGACATTCAGAAGATGTAGGTCCATTAGTCAATATAGGCCTATTGGCAAAAATGTATTGGCTTGTATCTGCAGAACAATCAATGGACTTAAATAACCTATATTCTATTCAGAGACTATATTCTGGTATTTATCCCGAAAATGGATACATCAGAAACAGGCATCAGCGTGCCTTTAACAGCCCGCATTGGTTTGCCAGATTATAGAGCAAAGCATTTGCGATTAAGCAGCCATTAAGCAGCCTGGAGTTGTGATACTACCTGCTTGGCCAAAACTTGATACTTATTGCCAATCTTGCCCTAATACAGTAGATTATCTCAGTCAAAGGCACTGGTGCACTGGTTACTTGCACTCCAGGACTTCCACTTTGTGCTCAAACAACTCAACATAGGGAAGAAATGTGGATGCACAATGTTTTTCCTCTTACAATGTGGGACAACTTAAAATCTTCTACAGTAGCTGTTCCTCTAGCCTCATTATCACTGGAAGGGACTGAAGGCTGATTTATACTCAACGCGTCCGCAAGTTCGCTCATTTCGCGTGGCGGTGTGCACAACATTTTTTGTAACTTTCCGCACAGCTCCGCTTCCGAAGATGCATGAGTTCAAAGTGACTCTAGCTGAACATGCACGTCTGTGCTGGCATTTGTGTGAAAAAGAAGCAGTTTGATGTTAAGTTCAAACTCCACCAGGTGCAACTTTTAACGCTTTGAGGGAAAACAATGCAAAGTTTTTTTGTTTTTCTTTTGCATAATTTGTCCAATGCTTTTTAATTGAAGTACGTTTATTTTTTATTGTATAAAAATAGAAATAGAATTCATTTAGATACTATTTATACACTATTTGCTTAAAGTTGTCTTGTGTTTGATGCGAAATAAACACAAAAGCTCTTAATTTTAATCAGTTTGTTTATTTATTTATTTAATTTAATAATCAGTTTGTACATAAAGAAATGATTAATTCATCAACTCATTCATCACGCGAGAAATCTTGTACCGGCAAATGATTTCTTCTCACCGGTGATTCCCGATGGTTTTAGAGGACAATTACTCCTCGTCGCCCCCTGTTGTTTCAAAGAATAGTACAATGGTGAACGCGACAAGTATAAAAGCCTCGTCCATTTGGGAAGGTGCGCGCGCAGTCAGCGGAGGCTCGCGAAGCGGAGCCAGGCGAAAGTATAAATCCCGCTTAAGGCTGGAACCCTGATGGGCGCTGTGCAATAGTCAGAAATTACAGCTGCATTCTTTACATAGCTGTCCTCCAACCCCAGTCCCTTGCAGCTCCTCTTCTTTCCTTCTCCACTGGACAGTGAACTTTAGGATGCACCAGTAAATTTTGCCCCATCCTGATCGCAGCTGCCATTACTAAAAGGTTCTAATGGTTGACTGATTGAGATACATACATTCTCGTCCCAAATATCTTATTTTATGTTAAAAGTACTCTGGTCTTTCTGAGGCCATAAAGACCTGTGAAAAGTTTTGCTTTGCCATGCCACTGTGAGCATTTAATTGACAATTTAATGCTCCTCTGATTCACTATTTCCTTCAAGTGTGCAATGGAAATGGCTGTGATTGGTTACAATGCCTGAATAGCCTAAAATTTAATTGGCCAATGTCTGCTAAATGATGGTGTATTTCAAATGTTGTGTGATATGGACAAAGGATAGACCAAAAAATAAATAAAAAATTGCAAAATGATTCTGGAAAAAATAAATGTTGGTATGTTGTGTTTAAGGTCTCTGACACCTGGACTTTTTTGAAGTTAAGAAAATAACAAGGAAGAAAGAAAGTCAATACAAATACAACAGCAGAGATGCCTGGACCCCTAACCAGACCTTGTAATAAAAACATGGCCTTAATCTCACCTGCAGGTTGACCTCTGCCTCAAAGAAGGTCAGACAGGAGCAGAAGTGTCGTTCTGAGTCTATGTCTGTCAGCACCACTGTGAAGAATGTCGGGAGCTTCCTCTCACGGGACAGTCTCCATCCACCAGGCTGGCAGAACTGTAAAAGCACAAAAAAAACAAAAAAAAAAACGCTGTCAGACTTGACTCTACAAGAGCCTGGCATTACCAGAACATGCACAAAAACAACCACTAAATGTTGGTTACCATAAGAGATGACATCATATGCACAGAGAAAAATCACAGGAATTGAATTTAGGGTTGTTGAAATTCATTTCAAACACTTTTCATTGTTTTGACAGGGCTTACTGGAATGCAGTATGAGGCTGTTATGGTACGCCATTGTGCAAATGGGCTAGTGTGTGATCATATGCAGAATGTACCACTTCAGATAGTACATCCTCTCATCAGAAGGCAGGAAACACCACTGACTGCCTCAGTGCCCTTCAAAAAGCCCCTCCATTCTGTTACAAAAAATATCCTAATAAATAAACCTGGATAATATCCTGTAGCTGACTAACTGTCCTGCTGCTGAATCCATGCTGCCACAATTAAGTGCCACAGCAAAAGAAATGATTTACAATCAGTTGTAAGTATGAATCTGTATTGAATGTGATTCAAAAAAGTAAAAATCAAAGCTTTTGAATTGGAGTTGAATCGAATCAAGTGACAAAGAGTGAAAAATTGAAGGGGGTCTGAATACTTTCCGTACCCACTGTAAATCAATTTGAAAATGTGTACTCCTGCACAGCAAAATAATCAAGATTTCAGAAGCACAGTGGCTTTCCTGTAGCTCAAACTAGTGTCACGGTACCCAAATTTCAGCAGTTGGTGCCAAAAACTATTATATAACTATTTTAACAGTTATCATTTACCTATTTGAAAATACAAACATTAAATAAATTAAATCAGTTAATTATACATAATATAATAAGGTTACACTTTATTTTACGGTGTCCTTGTTACAGTGTAATCATACGTTAGGGTTAGGATTAGGGTTTGGCTTAGGGTTACTTGCACTATACAGAGTGTGTTGGATTGACCTCAGGGCTTGAACCAGGATGTTAGCATCCCGCTGCAGCCACAATAGAAGGCAGGAAATCTGGAGCGCTGGCAGGCGAAGACGGAAGAGTGGGATGCTCTTTTCCCTTGTCAGATTGGGACAGGTTCCAGGAAAATAACAGAAAATATGAAAATATTCAAAGTATGCGATAAATTCCCAGCCAAATCCAGATAAACAAATAATGAGAGTGTGTATGTAGGGTTGATGAAGTGCGACGG